TGTCGAATACAGAGTGGTCCTAGCAGTAATTAATGGGATTAATTGAAGCATTTTCTTTACACGTTATTAACTGGTTTGGGCCCCCCAGTGGCACAGCGGTATGCCTGCGGAACTACAACGCTATAATCCGGGTTTCGATACCCGTGGTGGGCAGAGCACAGATAGCCCATTGTGTAGCTTTGTGCTTAATTACAAACAAACAAATAACTGATTTGGTTTGAATTTCGCGCAAAGCTACACGAGGGCTATCTGCGCTAGCCGTCCCTAATTTAGCAGTGTAAGACTAGAAGGAAAACAGCTTGTCATCACCACCCACCGCCAACTCTTGGGCTACTCTTTTACCAACAAATAGTGCGATTGACCGTAACGTTATAACGTTACCACGGCTGAAAGGACGAGCATGTTTGGTGGGACGGGGATTCGAGCACCCGACCCTAAGATTGCGAGTCTATCGCCCTAACCACCTGGCCATGCCGGGCCTACATGTTATTAAAAACAGGATGTATGAATAGTTTAGAAAGATGAACCTTTTAACGTTCGGTTCACAGACGCCGTCGATAATGATCTGAAGAGAGAGAGTGGTATATTTTTTATTCAGGAGAGAAAGGGTTTGCCATTCAGATACGAAGTAACATTTAAGTATTTGTTTATGAATCTTTCAAAACACAAATCTAAACTGAGTTTGGAAGTGAGTGTATTACTTCACAGCAAGAGATGTTTTTAATATTTGGTATTTCGATGTATTACTGAAGATCCTTCAGCAAATATTAACGTATTCTCTGAACAAATGTTCATCGTATAAGAATTGATGATGAAATTTGTTTTTTTTACTATTTCAAATTTCCCTACATGGTTCAAGTTATTTTCGAAAATTCATCATATAACAATCAATTAGGCCTAGAGATTTCTTTGAATCTGTCAACTGTGGAAAAACATAGGTTTCGAGTAGAAAGAGGTAGTGAGCGTGAAACGGAAGAGGGCTAAAAATTAAATGAAGAACTTAAGGTTTCGTGCTAATAGTTTATTTGAGGTAACTTTAGTTATTTAGTAGGCGTGGAATAGTGATTAGTGTACCCCAACTATGAATCTAAAAGATTCGTGGTTCCCGACCCGTTGCTGCAAAAACGTCTTTCGTTCTTTCGCACATTAACAGTGACAGTCAAATCCCACTATTCGGTCAGACACTATTAGCTCAAGAGTTGACGGTGAATGCTGTTGACTAGCTGCATTTCCTTTTGTCTATCATCCCAAAATGAAGGACAGATGTGGTAGATAGCCTTGTGTAGCTGTGCACAAAATCCTGAAACAAACATTTTTCAAGGAAATAAGGTACACTGTCGGTGTACGACTCCTGGTTGCTGAAAATATACATATTGTTATTTTTTCACGTAATTTGGATATTGTTCTTAATAAAAAAAAATATGTATTCGTAAAAAAAAAGAAAGTCTAAGCTAGGGTTGACGCTTAGTGAGAACTGACAAGCAACTTCCGGGAAGTAGGCCTAGCAACAATAATACTCACACGCTCTGCTATTCACCGTTGTGCAGTTATTGTTCATGACTCCTCCTCAACCATCAGATTGAAAGCAAACATTCACTTAATGACACAGCAGGGGTTAGGGTTACTCTAAGAGGCAGCACGTGTGGAAGTGACTGAGATTGTGTACTTATGAATATAACAATCCCGATACCTCCCTGTGTCCTGCCATCCCCTTCTAGGTTTCGTCTTAATAACAATTGTTTCTTTGCCTTTTACTTTTGTTTACAGACCAGTAGTCCATTTTCGGTTCTGTTATCTATGTGTTTCTGCACTATAAATTTAAATATACTTGGATGATACATTCTACATTCAGCAAAATCGATAAAGTGAGGTTAAAATACAAAACATTGCAGAAATTTACTCAGAGGGAAAGTCTGTTTTAACACATAGTTTTAACGTTTAATAGAAGAAGAAGAAGAAGAAACGTATCATTATACTTTCTGCTTTGTGTAATATTTAATGCATCATGCTTTATCAGTTTTGAAATCTTGCATGTATATGAATATATACACACACAAACAATATAGGAAATAATTATGAAAACAGTTAATAGAGATTGCTACACCAGCTAAATACCTAAAAATGTAGAGGCAGTCATACTATTCCCAACAGTAGTGTGGTAAATGCACTCATGGCTTCCAGGAAAAGTGTAGAAATCAAAGTTTTTGCTGGTGAAGGCTAACACATACCACAGACTGAGGCGAAATTTCGTCTTTTAATAGAAACTATAGGGAAATTGACTGAGGCATGTGAAACTAACAGTGTTATGAATAGAAGTGATCAAAATAGAAAATCCAAACTCTTCAAACGTGATGTTAAGTAACTCGGGAGTAAGCTCTTTATGTGATACACGACAATCAGTTAGAATTATTGCCTATCTAGCTATATGTACAGGTGCGAATGTTACCCTCATAACAGTAATGAAGATACACATCAGCGCAAAATGATCTTAATGTAACTGCTTAAAAAGACACTGCTTAGGAAGTATAACCAAATCAAAAGACTAAAATGTGCATCATATTTCAAATAATAGGACTAGCAAAGCTCGAGGAGGGTGCTCTTCACAGATAAATCAAAATTCAAGTTGAACAAAGCTGAGAAGGGTGCTCTTTACATTTAAATCCAAATTCAACTTGTTGGAAAACAACCACCGCTAGTGTTCAGACCAAGAATTTAGAATTTCCAAGCTGGAAATATCCCTCGTACTTAATTACATTAGAAAACTAAAAAATATAGTCCAAACTGGGGCATCAGGACCATCCAGAAAGAGGTGTGCAACAAGGTTTACCTCAGGTGTGGTAAGAAAAGTGTGGTGTCTTGTAAAAATGACTTGTAAAGGTCAATGGCAAAAGCCATCCACGTGTCACAGGCAATAATATGCAATACAATAAAGACGGATCTCGGTCTGGAAGAGTTACACAAGTCACGTATTCAACTATTGCATATCTTGAGAATGGAATGGATAGTCATGCTATTCCATTAGAAGGCATAGTGGTCAAGTTGCTAGATGCAGCAACTCTGGATTTTTGTGTGATCGTACTGTTGAAACGAGTGCTAAGAAACCATTTTCCTCGTACATTAGATAGATTATGAAAAGTAATAGAGAGTAGTGATGTGCTTTTGACACGGCAGCCTTACAATGTAGCCTTTTGCGTTGAAAAATACCCTGTTAGTGTTATTGTCATGATGCACAATCATCAGATAAAACATAACCGGATGTGGCTACTTGGATTCTATCGATGTGGCGAGGCTTGAAAATCTTTTTTATATAATGCACCCAACCTCTATAGTAAACGTGAAGACGCGTAATGTTAAAATATAAGTATATGGCAATATACGTGTATGAACAAATATATTTGTGTGTGTCGTGTTGCTCACTTAAATGGGGGTTAAACAAAGTATTTCATGAGTGTTTTATAACACGGATAAATCACACTGAGAACACAACTGTCGAGCAGCATCTGAATGGAAATAACAGATTTGATCAGGATATTAAGACTTTGAGATATGAGTTAAACTGTGATTACTGATCTCTAGAGCATTATTTGAAGATACAGTGTACCTGATATTTTCATTAATGCTGGTGAGAAAATGTTTCCAGTTTCGAAACTGAAATATTTGTCAGGTGGAGAACTGTTATGGAATAGATAAGAGTAACAAAAAATATGTTTTGATTGAATCAATTTAAAATACTTGTAACTTATCTGTAGATGTGGAAATCCACAAATTATAGCTTAAGTGTAATGCCACTTTTAAACTATGTGTATCCAAGTGTTATATTTGGCCTTGACTGAATGTTGTTTGTCGTGCAGACTGAAATATTTTGTAACCACGTAATTTTACTGAATATTTTGTTCACATTGTTTCAGTACAAGTTGCAGTTGAAATGCATGAAAATGTAAACAGAAAGTAACACATTGTATAGTGTCGTCTATAAGTTGCACCTGGCCTGTACCGAACTTGCATCTAAAAGGAGTCTAGTAAGAGTGATATATCCGTATTAATGGATTACCGTGGTCAGAAAATAGAATCTGGCACTTGTATGTTGGCTATCCTGTTTTGGTCATTTGTGGAAGGACCAGGACTTGCAGAATTGCCCCCTCCATTTATTTCGTACTGAATCTAGATTCTATATAACAACAAGACAGTAGTGAGAGGAATGCAGTTGGGTTCTAGGCTAGCTGTGTTAGCTATTGTCATGGAAATGACAGTAATGGGCAGAACAGCTGAGGGTTGGTCAAACATAAGACTCAGTGAAGCCTGGTATACTGTGACATCCACAGACGTCGGGGATACTTATTTGCAAGCAATATATACGGGAGTACACTTAAGAAATGTCCCTTGACCAACGCAAGAATTAATTGTTATGGCTAAGCCATCACAAAATTCAAACCTACAGTTTTAACAGAACTTCTGAACAGCCAGAACTCATTTGACTTTACATTTTAATCCCGATTTTTTCTATTTAAGATCAAGTCCTTCACCTTTCTGGCTATCTGATTCTCAACTATCCAGTTTTATAGCCATTTTATTCTTGTTTCTGCCACTCTAGAATAATTCCCGCATTCAAATGGAAGGAGGTTATTCAAAGAGTGTTTCTTTTTTATCTTAACTGAGGTTTCCAACTATCCTGTAGTCTCTAAGACTCTGGGAACTGACCTGACATTTGGCTAGGCAGTAACAAAACTTATAGATGTAGCTGCATTGCTACATTGCATTGGGCGTGCAAGTTCTTGTTGAAGCCATGGATGGGTTAGCTCTAAAGTATACAGTGGCTCTGACCATCAGGAACAGTCTGATGATCTCCGAGCCGCTGAGAAAAGAATACACAGGGACTGAGCCATCTGCCATGATCAATGCCCAAATAGAGTTCAGTTTACCCATTACCCAGCCAAGGGTGCTCACCCCTGAGTCCACACCAACCACAGTGGAGTTAAAACCACCTGAACCTATAGGGTCCAATGACAAGTCCTAAGGTATCCTATCGGCGGGTGGCCCAACAAAAAGAAGCACCGGTACCTGATGTATCTCAACCTGCAGAATTCAAGTCTTTTCAAGAATCATACAGATCCTGGGAAGGTTCAACCATGTCACAGGAAGAGAAACAGGCATCGTTAGTCAGGAGTAGATCCAGCCACCTCCAAGGTGAATGTTGGGGTATACACGTCATCTTCCGTTCCTTCACCACCACCAGTTACCAGCTAACCTTGCACCCTACTACAGCAGCTAGGGAACACAGCGCTACCCACAAAGCCACCGACCGTCGTTAAACCTGTAAAATATCTCAAACCTCAAGCCAATGAACCAAAGTCTGGGTCCTATATAATCGTGATGAGGACCGACTCAGGAAATGAGTAAACTCACCTTTATAGCTAGAAGTAGAAGTCTGGCAACTTTGCATTCAGCTGGTTCAAACACACATACATGAGCCCATGAGATCATTCGATGTACCAAAACTATGAGACATAAAGCCCACAGCAAGATCAACTGACGGGACATTAGTGAAGGTACGGGCTCTGGCTTTCCATATTCATGTAAATATGCCTTTACGTACGTATAAATTAATTTATTTGACATGACAAAGGGTCATTTCATGTAGCCACACCTTCCTTTGTCTGCTCTGTATTTAGCTTATATATATTCCAAACTATAATCGCTCATGAATTTGTACATATACTTGGATCTTTTATGCCATGTTGTACTTATGATATTATTATGTGTTCTGATTTGCTTTTAACAGAGCTTATTTTGTTTGTATTCGTGTCAAATTGGCTTATTTTACACATTTTTTATTCTGCCACGTTTTGCTTTTTTATAAAAGAGATTATTTTAATATGTTTTGCTATTATGAAGGGTTTAATTAGTATATTTTTAGTTTAATATGTTTTGCTTTCTTTCTCTCTGTATTTAGCATATGAAGGTTTAATGGTGTATTCTATTATTTAAATTTTGAATATAGTCAGTTTCTGTTCTTGATTTTCTGTTGACGAATTTACTCTGTGTCCAGTAATGTTGAAAGAATGGGAATAAATGTGTTGTTTTTTCTTCAAGTTTTTACCGAATGTCACTCAGTGGGTCAGAGGTAAGTTAACGGACTTACAGCGCTAAAAGTTGGGGTTCGATTCACCTTAGTGGATAGAGTACAGAAAAACCATTGTGTTGGTTTGCGCTAAAACAAGCAAAATTTTGAAGGTGATCTATGCCTTATGAATAATTTTATCTAGCAGTTTTTAGTATCTCGCGTAGGGTTTGTTTTCCTATTATTTTCTATTTGTTAATACAAAATATTATTTTGTGCCGAGTTTATTTCACATTACCACGTTTCACAGTTTCTTCTATCTTGTTTTTACTTTTATTTAAGTACGATATATTTTTTGTAATTTTTATGTTTGCTTACGCATCTCGTTAATTCAGGTTATCGTTATTTTCAATCTAATTACATTATTATTTTTTTCAAGTTAAAATGAACCAACAGCTGTGCTATTGATTGTTTTCTCTACCTTCGCACTGAAGTGTTCCATTAACCGTTTTTAAGGCCATATTGTTTGTTTGTTTGTTATAGATTTCGCGCAAAGCTACACGAGAGCTATCTG